AATGAATTCCATTTTTAAATTAATGAAAAAGCGCTAATGGAATGGATGAGAAAGAAAATTTCTCATTTGCTTTAATTATAATTAATTATAATATGAATGATATGAGGAGAAAGTAACGAAAAGAAGAAGAAAGAAGAAAAAAAAAAAAGAAAAGGAAAGTATAACCTTAAATCGTAATTGACCAATGGGTGCTTCAGCATACGGTATACCACGAAATATTTGAACATAATTATCAGCTAATTTGTAAATTTTACCAAGTAATAAACCTTGTTCAACCCATACTGATCGTGATTTTGCTAAATTTTGTCCCACAATACCATCCGGTAGTAATATTGTAATAAGTAATAAAGGTATACCAAATAATAAATATACGGTAATATGTAAATGTTGAATATGCAGTAATGATATGGAAAGCATTTGAAGAATATTTGTCGAAAATTATCGTCTTATATATATTTTATAAATATATATAATATCGAAGATTATCAATACTTATCAATTATCAATACTTAGTTATAACAATATAGTCGTTCGTTTCTTTTCTTTTTTCAAAATTTAATATTATCAATTAAACTTTGACAAAAAAAAAAAAAAATGTCATCGATAATTAATGAAAATTTTGAAATAATGACAAGAAATTAAAAATAATATTTCATTCAAAAATTAGTAATAGTATTGATAATTGATAGATGATAATATTAGCTAATAATAGCAGTAGTAGTAATAGTTGTTATTGTTGCTTTAGCTGTATTGATAATAGCAGTAGTAATAGTAGTAGTAGTAGTAGTAGTAATATTTGTGATAATTGTTGGAAAAGTAACGAACAAATGTTCACTTTCTTGTTTCATTAGCAGTAAAAGTAGTAGTAGGAATAGCATTAATTCGAAAAATATTTTCCAACAACTGTTAATTTAATTAACTAATTAAATCTCTCATCACATTTTCATTCGAAAATATCACATTAATTAATTGAAATTTTACATTTGCTATTATGTAAATTTAATTTAAGAAAAGAAGAATGAGGAGGATGAAGAGGAAGAAATGGGAGAAGAAATGATAAAGAGATAGGAGAGGGATGAAAGAAATTTTGCAGAGAAGAATTATTATATTTGAGATTTAATGGATTAAAGGAGTAACGGGGAAGGCGGGGAAAAAAAAGAGGAAGAGATGGAACGAGCGGGGAAAAAGGATTAAATAGCAGTTGTTCCTTTATATTGAAGGAGTTTAAAATTTTACATCAATTTCCGTAAGATTCATCTTCCAATGGGAAAAAAGATGGAATGAGTAAGCGAAATTTAATGACAGTAATGACATTTAACAGTTATAGCTTTTGAATCAATATGTAAAATTTAAATTTTAATGGTATTCTCCTCTTCCCGTCCCCGCTTTAGCTACTTTTTCCTCGTTTTCCCGGAAAAAAAATTCATATATGAGTGTAAAAAAGTTTTAAAACTAATGTTTGGAAGATATTTTATTCAAAAAAAGAACAATTTAATCGTACCATAAAAACTTCAATTTGAATTTTCACCAATTTATTAACATAAATGATAAGTGCAAATGAAATGAATCGAGAAAAATAAATGATTAAAAAAAGAAAATATCAGATTTATCAGATTTATTGATTTGATATGCCCGAATGATTTGAATTTTCAAATATCAAACAAAATGTATGCATAAAATTAAATTATATTTAAAGAGATGATATTGTGATAGTTTGGCTAATTAATTGTTAGTTAATGCTATCATTGATCAAAGTTCGATTAATTAATTGCTAATTAAATGCTATCATTGATGGTTATTTGATGAAAAAAATTCCATAAGAATTATGATAATTTGTAAAAAGTGATAATAACTGAGATTTTTTATCAAAAATTGATAGCTTCCGTAAAATTTATCCTGTTATAATTACTATTTCTGGTTAGCAATGTATGGAAGAATATTCACCGGAAAACCATAAATTCCGATATCATATCATTGAAGTCTGTTAATCAAATCTAATCTTTGATCTCCCGCATTCTTAACTTCAAGTATTAGTCTCAATTCTTGGAAAAATTTGAAATTTTCAAAATAACAGACACAGTTATAATTTGTTATGTTGCTATGCTCGAATTTTATGGTGCGCATTTGTCCACTTTAATCTTTGGTTTCAAATTTTCATAGACTAATATATCAAATGCGAGAAAAAAAAAGGGATAAGTTAGCAAAATTTATTTCGAATTTTAATTCCAAAGCAAACAAAACAACCAATGATTATTGCCATTGTTTAGTAATTAAATTTGTTATACAATAAAAGTAAATGCAGTAATCAGTTACAAAACAATTCTATTATACAATTCAAATTAGTGTAACAAAAATTTGTTAAAAATTTTAATCAAAACAATTAAGTCAAGCTCAATATGTTATTCAAGCTTTTACTCCTTTTCTTCAATGATTTACAATGCCAATTTCATTTAAATATTAAAAACTCATTATTAAATTAGTCTAACTTTTTTGAATTTTTTTTTTTTAATCGATTTTTGGATTTGTAATTGCAAGTGCAGTTGCAATTCGAAGAATTTTTGACGTAAAATGAAAAGTATTTGAAGAGAGATTAAAATAGGCTAAAATATGGGGAGGAAATGTAAAAATGAAGAAATTATTTCGAAAATTCTAAAAAAAAAGTATGATGTAAGCAATAGAAGAAACAATGTTAAAAAAAAAATGACAAAATTTTTTCTGGGCATGACTCATCTTGGAAAAAAAGCAAACCTGAGAGGGAGAAAGAAAATGTTTAAGATTTAATTAAGCATTAATAGGGAAGCTATGGATGATGATTGATTTTATGATATTAGCTTCAAACAACTGTGAAATTGAAATAAAAAATATGAATAGATTGATAAACAAAAGAAAATATTGCTGTTTTATTTGTTAAAATAATGGTTATTTTATGATAACAAAAATTTATTTTTTAAATTTTAATTAAAAAATAAAATCAAAAATTTCCTTCCATAGATTATGATAATAAAGTGGATAATAAAAATGTGAAAAAAAAAAAGAGAAACAAAGAATTAGAAGAGATCAACCTGGAATAATAATAATCACAACATGTTGAGATAAAGGAAGTTGCCATAAATAAGCAATTTTTCTCATTCATATAATAACAAACATTTAAAAAAAAAAAAGCAAAAAAAAAACAAAACAAAACAGAAAACAAAAAAGTGAAAAATAAGAAATCATTTCAGGTAGATTAAAACTGATTAGAAATTAATTTGAAATTTTTAAAGTAAAAAATTTCACCCTTTATCCGATACTTATTCTTTCTATTCACTGTTTTCATCGTAAATAAAAAAAGAAAAAAAAATTAAAATTTGAAAAAAATGGACAAAAATTAGTTTTATAACAAGAAATTCATTTGAAATCTATATTACAAGGAAATAGAAATGCATAATCAATTATAATAAACATCAAAATATTTCGTATTGAATAATAAAATGTGTATTGTATGATATGATAGCAAGAAATAAATCATTATCTTATTTGATAGTAATTATAGACTATAAATTATGAATAATGCAATTATGATCAAATTAATAATAATGGAATGATTGGAAGCTAAGTTACATTTATCTGTTGTACAAACACACATCCTTTCAATAGCACGAAGATCAGATCCCGGTAAATTGGAAGGTGTTTCTTCACATAAACCAACTTGAATACCACCATCTGTATCATTCAAACAACCACGTTTCACTGTCGTATATCCTATAATAAAAAAAAATATATGCCAAAATGAAGGAGAAATTAGAAATTAAGTATAATATCGAAAATGCAAATTATGCAAAAATTTATGTGAATAAATATATTTTTTTAAAAATTAAATATTACAATTAACTATTTTTTAGATTTTATTTTTTTGCACCATTCATCCTTCAAAACATCCTAATCTCTCTTTTAATCATTGAAATTTCTTCTACAAACATTTAACAGGTATAAAACCTGAAATGAGTAATTAAAAAAGAAAAAAAATCATAAATTTAATAGGAAGGAAAAAAAATCTCCATCAAAATATTTTATAATTTATTTAAATGAAATGAATAAACTACTTAAGCTAGCTAACCATCAGCAATGAATTCTGCTTTGTAGCAGTATCGTCCATCGCATGTGTCATCACAGTTTGGACTACTACCTGGGCAACTGTAACACTCATGAACACGATCACCTTTAAAAAAAAAGAAATTTAAATTCTAAATTAAAATATATATGATAGTTTATATAAGTTTATTGCAAAAAAAAAGAATAAAATAAATAAATATTATATCAGTATCTATCTTGGTATTAAAAAAATTTTCAGCAATTTTTACAAAACAAAATAAAGGATTATCATTGTCATAAATAATTACAATTCTCGAAAAGTTTCATAACTTAGCTACGACACTATGATATATATATATATATATATATATATATACTTATATGTCTAACTTCTTTAAAGAAAGTTTTTCAAATATTTCTCAATAAAATAGTATTTTAGTATTTGCTTATAGTATTTCTATTACTTTTATTGTAAATTTTAATATTTGCTTAACAATTACTTCATCACTTTTCCGGATTTTAACCGGATTCCTAATGCTCCGTCCTTTTTTCGTTCCCAGTGCTGTCCATTTTCATCCGATATATATATATATATATTATAATAAATACAAAATTATACAATTTAAAACTATGTATTAAGCATATATTATTATTTATTATATATTATAATTAAATATTATTTACCTGTTGGTTCGCAAATATTCTCAATGAATAATAGTGGAATAATTGCCAGTAGAAGTTTATGCAACATTTTTGTTAATTATTATTTCAGTATTAGAGGTTAAAATTTTTTACCTGAAATAAAAGGAAATTTTAAATGATTTAAACAAGTAATATTTGTAATGGTTTTTAAACGATATATTCTTTCTGAAAAAAAAAAATGATACGACGATACGATGGAATATATTCTTGAGTAATTATAATTTTCGAGAATTACCGGGATAAAATTATCATGTGTATAATTTATTTTTATAATCAAGCATATAATTTGACGTAATCATAACGTGACTTTATTTTCACAATCAAAATATACAATTTGATGTAACCATAACATGAATATATTTTCATGTCAAAAGACTACTTGACATTTGAACTGTCATATTGATGAAATAGATGACCATTGTATATATTTCCTATACTATATTATTCTCTTTTATTTATTTGTAGTATTACCTATACCAGTAATAAATTTGTATTTTATAAAATAATTTAAAAAATCAAATTTTCGTTTCAACAATTCAATATTTTCTTCTGTTCCATATTTAGTACCGTTTCATCCTATTTTAAACTATATTGATAACTGCGCAAAATGATATCTATCAATCCTGAATCTCTATGAAAATGATCTGAAACAGGTAAAAAAAAAAAACTACTGATACAAAATGGCAAATAATAAGCAAATAAAGAGAGGAAATAAAAAAAAAAAGACAATGCAGAACTGCAAGAAACAATGCAACAATTGGCAATTGATGACCTTCCCGCTAATATCTTTTCCTAAGAGGTCAACCAGGGAAAGTTAAATAACAACATATCACAGTACCTAGAACTATACATGTGTATGTGTGTATGTGTGTCTGTGTGTCTTTGATGGTGTACTGTTCTGTATGAAAAATAGCAACGATAAACAAAAATTGGGGTAATGATCATTTAATTGCAGTAATAGTAGTAAGTAGTAGTAGTAGTAAGTAGTGGTAGTGATAGAAAGGAGAGGAATAGAAAAAGTAGAAGAGAAGGAGGAATAGAAGGAAAAAGAGGAGGAAGAGGAGGAATTAGAATAAGGAAGAAAAGGAAGAAGACTGAGAAGGTCAACATTGCCACGTCAATGCATCATACCTTAATTGTCACTTTGATGAGATGCACTATTTCAAATAGGGACTATCATTAATTACAATGGAATTTTTTTTTTTTTTTCAGTTCGTAATATCGCAATATGTGTAATGTATTGATAATGTTGTTTATCTTGTTAGTGATCAAAGAACATAATTAAATACGCCCACGCAATTCTCATTAACTTGTCAACATTTTTTTTCCCTTTTTGAACAAATATTTAAACAAAATGAAATTATTATGAATTTTGTATAATTTAAATTCTAACAAATCATGAAATAATTCTTTTTTTTCTCAAATTAAAACTTACTTTAATTAAATTCAATTTCAATTCAATGCAATTTAAACTTCATTCAGTTTAGTTTAGTTTTTTCTTTTCTTTTTTGAATTAAATTGCAATAAATGGTAATTTCGCAATATAATCAACCCTTGGTTGTGTTTTTAGTGGAGATAAGTGAAACAAAAAACGAAAGGACAGAAAGAGATGACCTTCAAAGTCTCTTTTCAAAAATTGCACAATTAACAAAGAATGTAAAAGAAATGGAATTAATTCAATTAAACTCAATGACAGGTATTCATTAAACGAATTTATAAAATTGACAGACATTTTTATTTCATTCTTTTCTTCACAATAATGTGCAATAAAACTGAATTATATTGAAAAATTGATAACAAACATTATAATCCCGTTAAATTCAAGTTTTTTTTTTTTTTTCTAAAAATTCTTTTTTCTTTCTCATCAATTCGATTTAAAAGGAAAAAAAAAATTATCACAAATATTTCCAAACATATCTATACTAAGTGGAAAAATGAAATGCAAAAAAAATTGATAATTACTCAGTGGAAGTTGACTATTGCGTTCGAAAAAAAAAGCTAATGAATTAATTGATTAATAAGGAAATAATTGATTTATTAATCATCCGCTTATTCATTGTTCCATCAATCATTTATCATTCATTTCAACTGTTAGGATTATTTATTATTTCATAATTTAGCTAAATTATTCGCACAAAATTAGATGGATAATTCTGGTGAAATTCTCAAAAAAATTTGATTATTGGTAAAATGTCACATGTATTAACCAAGCTATGACATTATTGTCATTATCTATCGTTTGCTGGAAACTAGACATTTTCAATTATCGATTATTTAATTTGGGACAAAATTATTTAATGATTGGCAGCTTGAAATTGTTTTTTGTTTCCGTTTTTTTTTTTTTTGAAAACCATGCTAATACAATTGTTTTATTTCCGGAAATATTTAGGTAATATTTCAATCAGGAAATTCTCGTATAGGAATTGGGAATGTTGACATAAATGATTCATCTATTTAAATTTATAAAAAAAAAAAAAAAAAAAGGAAAGGATAGATACTTCCGTTTATCTTTCTGCATTTATTTTCACTGTTTCTATTAGCTCAATAAGGATGACATATTTTTTTTCTTTCCTGGAAAAGTAATGCTAAAATGATAATTCTATTTTACTAGTAATTACCTAAAATGAAATAACAAATAAAAGTTTAGGTGAGATTTACAAGAAAAAAAATGAACAAAAAAACAGGAAAATAAAACGAAATCGATAATGAACTACGATTATCCGGAAGCTTAGAAGAAATGCAAAATCCAATCCATAATGGAAATAATATTCTATCCGGAAACTGGAATAATATTCTATCCTATATGGAATTATAATTATAAGAATAATATTCTATCCTATATGGAATTATAATTATAAGAATAATATTCTATCCTATATGGATTCTATATGGAATAATATTCTATCCGGAAACTTTAGAAGAAATACGAAATGAAATCCATAATGAAATATTACTATCCGGAAAATTATTTGAGAACTTTCTTTCTTCAACTTTTCACACTTCTCATTTCATTCCTATTTTAAATTTCAATAATTTCTATGACAAATACAATTACTAATCGATTACTGATGATACAATTCACATATGCAACAGGAAAAAATAGAAAAAAAAAAAAGAAACGATAAGCAAATACAATAAAACTATTTCTGTTTGGGAAAGATAAAATCTCATTTTAATGAAAAAAAAAAAATTTAAAGAATTCGGGGAATCATTCATCTATCATTAAAAAATTCCTAAACAATAGTGAAATTCGACCTTTCACCTTTCATCCATTACCGTATTAATACATTTTAATTGAAAAATAATGCTTAATTAATAGCAATGGAAATTTTACCATTCCCACACACGAATTTATCATTTTTAATGCAAATATTAAATTACATTTAATTGTTTACGATTATTGTTCTGATAAAGAAATATTATGAAACTAAAAAAAAAAAATCAAATTAATACAAAAAAGTGAAATCAAAATTTCATTTTAAAGAAAGGATAATAAATAAAGAATTTGATAAAAACCTATGAAAGTTTTAAAAAAAAAAAAAATGTTGCAGCATTATCACAATTTACTAGAAGGAAGCGCTAAACAGATCGATCATTTGGGAGAAACATTTTACATTTTACGCCATCCATATATCAGTTCTTTCTTCATCAAACTCCTATCTCAATTCTTATTCTCTTTTCTTTTATTTTTTTTTAACTGTTTATCAAATTTTTGCTCTCTTTTCTTAGTTTCTAGTTATCACAGTTTTCATACACACACTATGTATTACTAGTGAAAGAAAAAGAATCACTAATTAATTCATTTGTATAAAATATGATTATCTCAATTAGATGTAATTCCATGACATAGCATGCAAATTGATAATGGTTTATTCAAAAACAAAGAAAAAATTCCTAAAAGTAAATAAAATTTGCAAATTGCAATAACAGCAATGAAATATGGAAAATGCAAATTCCATAATTTGGAAAGAGAATTAAAAAAATAATAAAATAGACAAACAGGATCAGGAAAAAAGAAAAAAAAATATAATTCCTTTTTTCTTTTTATATACAATGATACGAAATGAAATTTGTAAACAATAATATATGAGCCAATTTTTTTTTTCCTATTATCAGTAAAACCGAGAAATTCAATTTGTTATCCATATGGATCAAATAAAACTTATGCCTATACAATATCTATTGCTTAACCTATATGTTTCCATAAGGAATCCTAAATTTAATACAAATTCTTTTATTATCGTTATTACTATAACAGCTTTGCCTATATATTTCATTTTATTAAAATTCTTACTTTCAATGTTTCTTTCCATTTCGGCCATTTTTTCTTTCTTTTCCATCATCCTTCATCTAAATAATAAGCTACAAAATGAATAATAATTCTAGAAAGAGTAAGAAAGCCAAGCATGGATAAGTTCCAAAACGAAATCCTAGTAGTTTGAAAATAATGAAGTCACATTTAAGCCAAAACTACAAGCATGAAAAGATGCAGGGATGAAAGATGCCACAAAATTTGAAATATTTTTTTTAAAAAAAAGAAAAAAAAGCATACCGAATGTATCAATCACCCTGCTATACATTTTTTTTTCTACAATTCAATGTTGTAGAAGAGATAAAAAAAAAAATAATATATATATATATGAGAAACTTCTACCATAAAAAAACCTAATCAAGAAAAAATACGTTTTGAAGACTTGGTGGTACAATTTGGATAAATTTATGAATGAAATAGCACAAACACACAGAAATACTCATATAGTAATGAGCATCGAAGGCAAAATAAATTATTATTATACGGAATGATTTTCTCTTTTTTTTTTTTTTTGAGGGAGGATGGGAGTATTCGAAATAATCTGTTGTCTTTCTAAGAAATATTGATTCATTCTACGGATCATTTGTTAAACAAATAATATTGAAATGATCAAAATCAAGAAAAATAAAAAATAAAATATCGGTACATGGCAGATATTGCATTCAGCACAACAATTTCGCGCCTATAACACAGTAATTGCATAGTAACTGAATTTATTATAAATGCTCGCACATTCATCATGCATTTAATACGCCAAATATGTTTTATAAATCACATTTTTTTTCAATTATTTTTTCCGATGATCTCTCTTCCTTCCTCTCTCTCTCTCTCTCTTTTACCGGGAAAACATTTTAAGATGAAACATTCAACTCAATTGCTTTGGGAAAAAGATCAAAAAGGCTTTGAATTGTGCATGCAAAGCAAACAAGGATGCACAGTAAAGAGATCACATTTAAAAAAGCGATATATAAAATATGGATTACGGCCAATCATACAAAGTTTGAATTGATTCTTGCTCGCCAATACTATACATATACGGTTCACTTTCATCCACCGGATCCAAACTTAGCAAAGCATATGAATTTGCTGCTGTATCCTCGGTATTTGAACTCGAAACTACAAAAGAATTCATGAAAAGTTATGGAGCTGAAAAAAAAAGTCAATTCCCAATAAAAGAAGATGGAAGCACATAAGAACACGGAAAATGAAATGAATAAAATATAGAAAAAGCATTAGCTATATTCTCAGAAATAAAGAACAGAAATAGTACGAAATAATTGACTAACTTTACAATCAATTGACACCCTTGGGAGATAACTGACTGATTTAAAGCTATTGTATAAGCCAGAAAATGAAGATACGCAATACAAATAAGGAAAACTTTCAACTGCTGTCAATGGAAAATTAAAACAGAATTGTGGGCGTAAACACAACAGAACGTCTATTAACGTAACCGCGACAACTAATCCCGCAAAAATAAAAGCATGAACATAGCACCACTCACCTGCTTGCTGTGAAGGACCCTCAACAACCATTTTCAGTGGAGAGGTATGTAGGTTTGGTGGAGCGTAGAAAGTACTCAATGCATTAACGGATAAAATATTGGCGTTATTGTCGTTACTGGCTAAAAGCAATAGTCAAAATCTAAATGCATTTTGGAAAATAAATATAAAGTTATAACTAAAGTAATGCTTCAAAAAGAAAAATATCAAAGTAAAAAGTTGTAAACTTACGTCCTGGAATTGGCACTTGTTGTTGTGCATCCCCAGTAATTTCCTGAAATACATCATTTGTCGACTGTTCAGACCAACTACGTTGGTCTTCGTGTACCATGGCATCACGTGATTCCTCTTTCTGAAAAAAAAAAAACCCACATTAGATGAGGTTCTTAAATACAGAAGCATAAGTTGGATTCTGATGAACCAATGCAACTTCGCAATGAATAACTCTGCACGAACAGCATGCGATTAGGTTAGAGCTGACATATTTAGTGGCAACGGCGACAAAGTTGAAACTTTTCTATATTCTCAGAAATTTTGCAAATGAAGCAAACTAATATATTACGGATAATGATGAAATATAATCAAAATGGTTTCATTCTGGATCTGAAACATAATAAATGTTCGTGATGCTGACAATTTATGCATGTAAAAGATGTGCTAATATTACTTGGATACTATCCATGATAGTAGCTTGAATAATAATGATAATTTTGAAACTCTATTTTATATTGCAGAATGTTTCGAAATATATAAAAAGTGACTTCTTTAATATCCACGACAAAGTTTAAGTACGAGGTATTTGAATGAAAAGGGAACATAAGTTAAAGTGGACGGAATTCAACTATGATATTAGCGGTAATAAAAAGTGGAGTGAGAGCAAATTGTTAAGCAATATTGATAAAACTACCTCAAACTGTTCATTTTTTGGTGAAAGATGTGGACAAAGATAGGCTTCTAACGGTTCTTTTTGCGAGTTCTTGATCATTATTTCAAATTTCTGCAATAATCATATGTTAACCTGATAATAGTTAAGATATGAAAATATGTGTGTTAGTTAATGAAGTTCCAAAAATTTAGTGCAAAAAATTTACTCCTGTTTCCACTGGATCTGTTACATCGATGGACGAGTATGAGTCCTTAGGAGCTTTGATTGCTATCAGTGTCTGATCAGACATTCCCGGCAACATGCGAAGATCCGCATATTTCACATAACTGCAATATATATGCAATAAAAAGACAAAGTATTCAACAGCTATGCAATAATCGGAAAAATTGAGAAATTGAAACTGATTATTACAAAAACTTAGTGAAAAAAAAAAGGAAAAGCAAAACAAAACAAAAACAAATAATATTTCCCAATGGATCATATTGAAAGAGAACACCTATCGTACTTTTAGACATACCTGTAAACTCGATCAGTTGGATCTTCTTTAGCTAATTTTAGTGCATTCTCAATGCTTGTGATCAATTCATCTAATGATTGCTCGTATTTATCTAAGCTCTTAATCTCCTCTTTAAGCCTTTGTGCTTCAATTCCACGGGAACCAATTTCATCATTACTCCTGAAATTCGTGCTTTTAAACAGGTAATTTACAAGAGATTGAAACAATATACATTACTAATGGACAGTGCAAACTTTTGTCTCCTATGTTTCAAAATTTTAAAGTTTTCAAGCATATATCACAAATTAGATTCCAATTTCATAAATAAGAAATGAATAACCTCCAAAAATGTATTTGAGTTTCAAATTCAAACTATAAAACTTAAAAATCAATACTTCATCGAAATCAATAACGAAGGATGTATTGTCCGTTCAACACGCACAATACATCTGTTGTGCATTTTACCTGATTATAATCATCATTTTGATCTAATTCCACAGGGAAGCATCTCCCTTATCTTTACTTTGTTGTTCTCACATGGGAAGAAGGAAAGAATACATATACTTCAAATCATTAAAGTACTCACTTCCATCGTATGCTATTCTTGCCCATTTTTTCAATCATGTCAATTCCTTCCAGTACATTCGTTATATCATAAAGACGTCGCTTCTGCACGCCTAACCGCATAGCTGCTTCGTTCAAATTCAATAACTGCAAATAGGATATAAAAAATGTGCATAAGTATGTTACCAAATTACTTCCATACCCAGCCAAGTCGAGCGGCTTGCACTTCCAAATGTGGTATTAAGCCTTGGTGGTGGTTCTTTGACACAGGAATGAATGAAACGCTCTATAGAGAAAACACCAATAATGCGAGACATATGAAAAAAAAAAAGCTCACTCCATCTTCATTCGCTTGCGGCTGCAATTGCATGAACTTTTTTGTCAAAACCAATAATGAATTATCAACCCGACAATTCAGTGGTCCAAATTGAGCAGCAGACAATGTCTCGCCAGCTGAAATTATTCAGATGCAATATTTAAACATATTCTATAACTGATAGAAACTCTAAAATACAATAACCAGCTCTGATCCATGTTTATAAGTTGGACATAATTTTTAAAATTCCTAATGTATGTACCTAACTTGAGGTAAAAATAGACCTCGCGGCATAAGTATCCTCAATTTTTTATCTAATACTTGATATAACTCACTCGGTATTGGCATCAGATATGAACATGGAAGCAAATTTTTCCGTGGTCGTTCAAGTGTTTTCAAATAAGAACTACTGAAGGAAGGCTTGAGCTGATAAGTATCTGAACGACTCGATAATTTACTATCGGAATATTCCTTCTCATTATTATCTAGATTTGATGAGGATTTCCACATAGTGCCACAAATAAGTTACCGGTAAATATAACAGCAAATAAGCAATAAGGAACAAGCACACATGGACTGTTTGACTAGGTCAACTGCAGTCACTCAGCACAATCGATCACTGAGGAAACTTGGGAAAGTAGCCCTGACAATACGATGTGAGGTCTAAAACTGTTTACCCGATGTGACATTCGCCATTCTCTAAGCAGCTGTTATTCCCAAATGAAGGCACAGAGTAGTTATTCACATACATACATACATACATAAATGAACACATATACGCATTATTTTCAGGTAATAACTCTCAAGATTGTCCTCCCCGCCTCTCATTCCCTGATTATGTAATGCATAAACTAGCAAAACACCTGACACTGCACACAAAAAACCATAATCTTACCTGCACCTGCATGCCTCTTTCGACTACTTGTAGGTCGAGGATGAGAATCTGAAAAGATACATTCATATTGTGGGTTTCACGTTTATGTGGGTGGGAATTTCGAAAAATAAAAGCTATATGAAGTGGGGTGGGAAGAGAGACTTTTTAACCTTCGACTATTTATGCACATAAAGATAAGATCCTATTCTGATAAGAGAATTTTGACACGAATATTCACGAATGCTTGAAAAGTAATAACTATGAAGATTCCATTTCCATTACTCATCTAATTATCTTGTGCCAAAACTTCATAGACTTCTCTCCTGCAACTTACCAGATTCTGAGTGAAGTAAAGCTTGTGAACTGGAAGAACCCTGTGTATCATTAAATCGTGGATTCGCGGAATGTGGTTCTGAATTTCCGGCAGCTGATGCAGTTGCCATTTCTGACTTCCGCCTCTGAAAATACGAGAAAAGTTGGTTTTCGATGTTCCTAAAAAGGATTCCTAGTTTCTAAAAAGAGCAAAAATAGTTTTCGCATTATATCCATCAATCTACACTAGTTAATTCTATAGTTCTCCAATGATTTTAGCTTTATTGCTTTTATTGTCTTTATAGGTTGGACAACACTATCATTTTGACAAACCAAAGTGTCTATATAATTCCGCTAACTTCGAATACTATATTTGAAATTTGAAAACAATACTTTTGGTGTTGTAGACATCATTTGCTGCGAGGTGTTTTGAGAGCTGTAACGTTCAGAATTGGATATATCACTATTCCATTCACCGTAACTGCTAATTGAACAACTATTTTGACCATCCGTTGATGATGGCATAAAACTTGTCGCAGCCAAATTGTTTGTCCACGAACTGCCTTCAGACCTTCCATTTCTTAAACAAAAATTCACAACTATTTATTTATAAATAAATCACTAATCCCTATTAAATAGTGATTCCTTTGTTAATCACTCCACTGCTTTAAGTATAACACACTTTGTATACCATACGAATGCATTCATTTATGAAATAATTAGGAGGAATTGAAAACATAACGATAATGGGAATTATTGCCGTAATTATAAAGAGATAAATATGTCAGCTGTTCAATAAAAGCTTATATGTTTCCTCATACGCTATGAAACTTCTTCAGAAAAAGAAAAAAAAATCAATTACGGGAGTATTTTGAGATGAGATAAGATAAAATCTCGCCAGATAGGGAAGATAAGTGAGCAATTACAGAACCTAAAAACAGAAACAGAACCATATTTCTTCTAAGTACATACGATATAAAGCCTTAATATTTGCCCCTCTTGACTAATGGAAGAAATCGACGTCATACAGTGCAAACCGGTTGAATGATTCATCAGAGCGGATCATGATTTACGAAACTGATCCCTCTCTGCTAATTCATCAAACTTACTTTATCTAGGAAATAATCCGCATTCATCATCCGCGTTCGCTCCCTTTCACATATCAAAGAAACACAAAAAAAAGGGAAAAGGACAAAAGAGGATTACAGTTAGATTTTGTCATCTTTCTCTATTTCTCAAATATCGCTCAATCATTAGCTGTAGGATATAAAAAAAGTAACGAATTTTTTGTTGTTCTAATTCATATAGGAAATATTAACGCATCTTTCGTCCAACACAAATTTTCGAAATAAATTTGATTTCTCTAAAAAACCATTGATATCTTAATGGTTAAGATATCAATGGTTTATGTTGCAATGGAAAAAGTGAAAAAAGAAAAAAAAGGAAAAGGAAAACAAAAGAATAATAAATGAACAAAAAGCACAAACATCTTGCAATACAAATCAACTCCTTACCTTACATTCATTTCCGAATCTCCATCAAACTGCTTTCCAGCGACCGGACTGCTCCAAGCAGTACTTTTCGCCTATAAAAAGATATGTCAAAGAAGTTTCTCGTATTGAAAATTGAATCATTCCTAGATTACTTTATTTAAGGAAAGCCAGCTACCAAATTATCCATTGCTGAACTTTCGATGATTCGACCTTTATAGGTACACTTTACAACAAATCTTTCTCATATTCATGTTCTCATGTTTATTCCCTTCATTGAACTATTTCATTAAATAAATCAATATAAATAATTTCTATTTCTATAATGATACAAAAATAAAAAATAAGAAATAAAATACTTCCGAATTCAGGCCTGTTACGTTGTTTACAATAATCGATGAATTACTCGAAAGATGTTCCGTAAAATAATGCTGATATAATGATGGCTGCGTTGAACTTGCAGCTGCCATGCTCTAGAAACCTTATCGATAAATCATCAATTATTGAAGTCACCTCATTATCAGCTGAAAAAAAAAAAATTCATTTTCATAATAAATGAATGAATGAGTGAATGCGAAGAAAAATATGTTTTGTAAACGTTTAAATATGTGAAAAGATTTATGTGAAATGACTGATGTTTAGTCTTAATATCTGGAAGATTTGCAATAATTTCTCTAACACGACATATCATCAAAATTGTCCATTGATCAACTGATTGATAAAAAAAGATGAACAATAACCTATTCCCTTATATCTCATATTGTGCTAGATGATAATTTTTTAATGATTTCCTAACAATAATTTTTTCTTTTCTTAAGTAATCATAACTTCCTCTTTGATCAAAGCAGCGGTTCCAATATTCATATAATTAGAACAAAGATCAATCAATAACTGAAGGAAGGAAAAAAGAACAGTAAATTTTAAATTTGCTTTATTTGTTACATAATTACCTGCAGCATCAAATATTAATAGAATTTATGCTGAAAAAGGAATACGGGAGAGTGACGAAGGTGAGGAGAGAGGGAAAGATGGTCAACAAGTATTCTAAAGGTACCTAATAATTAGTTTATGCAACAAGATATACAACAGGATAGCTAGTATTATTCGAGGTATGGTACATTCAATGCATCAATTATCATAATTCTTTGATGGATACAGGACACGTGTTTAAATTTGAATTTGGGGTCTAAGCATTTGGGGACAACACATTATCAGCCAAGAACAAGTAATAATAGTGAATAATCAAATGTAACGTCTAAACGTAACGACACGCTTGCCCTAGCTAATTAATGAGAAGTAGTATGAAAATATGAAAAGTATGAACAATGAAGTTGAAAACGTAAACCAGTCATAATAGATAACATCTTAACGAAATTTTCATCAGTAATTTTGAGCAACATAAAATCAACATTTGGCACGAATCCATATGAAAATGAAAGAAATCTAAATGAAACTGAAAATATTATTTAATTTTAGGATTATATCTATAAAGATATAATCAGAGACAACTGAAATCAATGATAAAGACTTGCATTAGCTAATTAATGAAATATGTCGTCATACGGTAGCATGACTGGATATCGGATACTGACCATCTGCTGCAATCAGTTTTGAAAAAAAATTCATCATAACAATTTTTTCAACCATTCATTGCACATCCATTTATATGCATAATTAAAATGTGATCATAATAGTTTGCTGACAAAAATCTGTCATCAACTGTCAATAGATGGAAGAAAGAAAAGCACTTTTTAGGTTTGAATAAAACACGATAATTGTAATTAATAGTGATAATGATATTAACCAGACTGATAACATATATCAATAACAATAACAATTATTTACATTGAAAACGGTCGCAATGATACGATTATGATAAAAATGATAAACGATAATTAGGTGTAGTGAATAAAAAGATATAATCAATAGGAGTAGCTATTTAAGGAGGATGTATGAAATATGAAGATATCTTGGTAGGCAGGATAGGAGATATGTCTATGAATGATGCCATCCATTTAAACATTTAATCCATCGAATTTAATGTGAGGTCACCCGTTATTGTCTTTTCTTTAACACTCAATAGAGTAATAAGCAAGAAAGAGATGTTAGATGATACTAAAGGAAAGTAATCGTTACAGGACCTGTTCCTGGGTAATCCCGGGGAGAGGAAAGAGAGCGGGAACAGTTCATCTTTTTAGTATCCATTAAATGCAGTAGCTCAACGAACCGAAATTGTGAATGATTGCCAAATGCACCTAAAAGCAATCCCTTCCCTCCTTCTGGGATACGATCGATTCCCTACGCCCTCCTCTCAGGAATGGTGTGAACACACACACACACACACACACACACGCATCAACATACACAGACACACACATACACAGACATACACACACATGCATTCACATACACAGACATACACACACACACACACAAAGGGTGAAGTGAGGAGAAGGAAGCAGCAATAGGACAGGTGAGGAAGAAGACGGATGTGAAGTGAGGCTAGGGATGGTCTCACTAGCAAGCGCATTTTACCTGCGTGTCGTGCCAAAGCTGCACGCCGAACTGCATGCCACATGATGCAGTTACGGCTAACAAAACGGAACGTAGTGCATCGCGTAGTGTCATCCACCAACAAATACTACTTTCGACACCCTGGTTTCGTTAATTGACTTATCGATCAGTTGAAATTGCGATGAAATTCCTCTCATTTTAAACTAACTACATGTCAATTTTACAATCACATGCAGGCTAATTGAATGTATCTTCCGGAATGGATTTTATTTGCCTGCATTCTACTAACCGGAAGGTTCGATGCTAATACGCTGTCAAATGATTCATTTGTCATTAGTTTTTTTTTTTCCTTTACACTATCAGTAAGAATGAATGGAATTGATCATCTTGTACCCTTTCACGTCTATCACACCTTACTATAATGCTATATATTCTAGATGTGTATTCGATAACAATTCAGAAAAATCTTTAATTGATTCAGATAACTTCCTTCATTATATGATCGTAAGTTTGTCATCGTTTCGTATAATCCATTCATCAACAATTCGTCTACTATGTTAACAGTTGCATGCTACTGTACTTCATTATATTCACTTAACTAATGATAGTATAGTAACAGCAGCTATAATTTGTAAAATGCAGCGCGCTTATTTCGTAATACATGGATAAATCAATTAATTAGTAAATTAGTTGATCATTCCATGGCTAAATATAAAATATTAACAGATGTATAAAAGTATATAAACTGCTTTATAGCATTCCTTGCGTGGTTACTTTTCTGCTCATTATCTAGTCATGTTTTGGTCGCTTAAATAAACAACCACGATAAGCAGATTTTTGCCTCATTTTCATGCCAAAATATTGTCAACATTTAAAAAATTTAATATTTCATTTCTATAATAAAAATTTATCAGGCACTGTTTGTCATTCACATGCGAAAAATGCATAAATTTACCATGTTTGATACCGATCGAAAGGACAAGGGGCTCTTCACATCTTCCTTCCCCCAGCGTCAACTGACCTATTTTATCGATCACTTTCTAATCACACCCATCACCGAAAACGATGAATGTCCCAATATCTACTCTTGCTAAAGGAAGTAAGATACGAGAAAGGGTTCATAACCTATACTCATAAAAAATATGCGCCTAACAAAACGTCTCAGTATCAGCATAATTTACAATGGAGACATCATAAATAATAACGTATAACAAATCAAAATTTACAATATTTTGGAATGAAAAAGGTTGTCGATGGTAAAATTAATTGTTAGAGAACGAACATTTTTCTGCATTATCTAATTCATTATTATAAATGCGGTTAAATATAACTGTCGTGAAAAATCCACGAAGAATTAAACACCAGTTACCGCATGATATCACGTCCTATAGAGTCCTATAGAATGACAGTCTAAACTATCAGTACTAGAAGTAACACCATTATTAACACTGAATAAGATGTAACTGGAAGTTTCTAAAGAGGATATAATAAATTCGCAGTAACACAAAACTTCACTTCTCAACATTCAAATGCATACAATTTTGTACCTAATATCATTTCTTCCTTCATCACTTAAAATATTAACTGGTACCGTTTCCACTGCATCCCTCTAGTGTTTTCATCCGACACTTCGTCAACAACGTCCAAATCTCACCTCTTATCCATACCGCTGCTTTTTCATCAAGCTTTGCAATTCCTCGAATATAATCGGCAATTGACAAGCCTACAAAACATTATTAACTTTGTATTCAGAAATCTTGAAGTGCTGGGATTAAAATGATTGGATTCATCAAAAACACTCAAAATTTGGTAACTGATACCACATATCTTTTTTTGAAGGGTCAGTTATGACCGCCTCTGTGACGTAGCGGCAAAACGCTCTTGTTAATGACTTTTCATTTCATCAATCACAGGTTATTTCAGTACGTGTTTCAGAAAGTATGAGTTTCACTGCAAAAAAAAAAAAGAGAAGAAAAAACAAAACAAAACAAAAACAATGCTTTTTATAAAATCAATGGAATCACGAACCAAAATGATCAAATTCATCCATCCTAGAGAAACAACTGTCTTCTCTATCATGTGTTTTTGAGTCGATATCCTTCTGAGTTTTGTAATCCGATGACCTGCCATGTTTTCTTTTACGGCGGATTGGCAATAAACTTGTAGCAGAAGAAGTGCCGGGGACTGCAAATTCAGAGCACGAATCCTTCGACGGAATATTTTCACCTAAGTTTTGCAGGCCATTTTCTTCGTTCATCATGATGCAGTATCTAAATTCCATTAAGAAATAAAATTGATATCCGCATAATGCTAGAAAACTTTGACTAGAAATCAAGAATTTTTAGATAATTTCTTATAAGTTTGCCAATGTTTCTTAGTCAAAATACATACATATTTTATTGATGCATGACTAACGATTTATTTTTCATTTCAAATTGAGAGATTAGATTTATCGCAAAAAAAAGGAATGAAACTCCTTTATAATCTTACCGAGATTGCGGCAACTGCTTGTAAGGCATCAGAAATTTCAGCTCTTCGGAAAATTTGAATGATGGAAATCGGCAATCATTAGGTTCCATATTTCTGATTTTGTTGATGAAGCGTACGTATTGGTCTCTCAAAGACTTCCACTGTCTCGCTATATCATCCGCTAAATACTATTTTTGTGCTGATTAATTTTAGAAATAGCCTTTCCTGTTATATGTTACGTGCTTTCGTAACCTTTTTGACTTGTACGTTTTCCGTTTCGTTTCGTAGTTGCTTCGTTACTACCGTAATCGTCTATAAGAATACAAAAAAAAAGTTTTGAAGCCCTGGAATGTGTATCTTACTACTCATCATTTTACTGATGAAGCACCCGTATTGTCAGGGATATATATGGCCTACAACCTAAATCAACATTTTATAATATTTCATATAATTAGTACTACACGCTTCGAAAGCCTTTTTTTATATTAATCCGACAATCTTCTCGAAGATACCATTCAAAGCATATCCCGTTCGATGATAGAAAGATTCTATAACTTCGTTCCTTTCACTTGCCGCATACTGTAAATCTCTATATTTTGGATGGTTATGATCCCACAAACAGGGTCGTTTCTTCATTTCTTGTATTAAAATTTCACGTAGATCATCCGTCCATATTACTGAAATTGTTTCTGTCAAATCTAAAATCTTCTGATGTGTGTTAATTTTTCCAAACATTTTGCTGTTTCCATCATATCTGAAGATTTTTACCTATGCGATATTTCTCTTTCATATGATGCTCTTTGCATCGCTTCAAATCCTTTATTAACTCTCATCATTTCAACAATATCATTCAAATCTTCAATAGAAAAACTCACTTCTTGCTTTTGTTGTTCGATCTTCTACAGTTGACGGCGACTTTGCACTTCCACCTACGACCACAACATCTGTAAAAAATTTCAAATCTGATTTTCAAAATAAATTTTGACAACAAAATTTTTGCTCTTAAATATGCCAATCACATCGCTAATACTACTGATACCATAAACGACAAGAAAATAATGCATACCTAATTCTGGTTTAACAGATGATTCCGATGTCGTGGTAATTAAATTCGAAGGTGAGTAAATATGGTCACTGAATGACATTGCCGTCACCGTAGTATGTTCGCTATGAGCATTAGTCGAACTGTCATCAGTATTGCCATAATTACGCTGAACCTGAAATCTTAATGATGAAAAGGTCATCGTACATCATGACTGACAACAAATTCTCCTACAGGAACTTGTAAGTTGCAGATGGTACTCCAGATATTTTCCTTTCTTTGATGTAAAGGATAAGACTCCACAACTGAATGAATTGAATGAGTTAATAGTGAATTTTTATAGAATCACACCTTTTTCTTTTCTTCTTTGATTTTATAGCTTTTAGCTTTAGGCTTGAATATCGATTATTCAGATCAAGAAGAGAGGCCTTTATTCTCGTTTTT